GTCTGACACTCCATTATTCCCTTGTGCAGCTGCACAAACTGGGCCACAATCTGGATATTAAGTGTATTAAATATTTATTTTCTTACTAGTTTGCTTGGATGGGTCTCAGCAATTTTTTATCTGACATTACCTGGCAGCACCAACTTTTTTCCGGTCATCAAAATATTCAACCTCATTAGAAGGGGTCTGTGGCAATACACTGGGTGATTTTCCTGCCTTCTTCTTTTCCTCTGCACCATACTCTCCATCTGACCTGCAGAGAGAGAGAAAACAGTCCTCGTTATCTAAGGATTCATACCAAGGGCAAAAACCAAACTGACCTAAGAAGGAAAATTGTCCAATATGTACTTCAATCATTAATTATAAATATTAACACACAAAGATTTTAACAATAGTCATTCTTGGATCTTTTATCATGCTTGGGAAAACTAAATGCCTATCCTCCATGCTTGTTTACCTAGAACTTTAATCTAGTTATCTTATTTCTGTCATACTAACATATGAATTTAAAATATCCTCTAGGTCAGCTAATATTTACATAGCATCAATCACTGTAGTATCTAAGTACCTCTTCGAAGATTTTTATAGTTTAAAAATTGACAAAAAAGGCTCCCCGTCCCATTAAAACCTTTCCATGATGAACATTTAAAAAAGTAGTCTCATTTTCTAAGATACAGCAAATACACAAAGTGTGGCTATAAAGCCTGATCAGGGCATATTGTAGAGCCCACCAATAAACTTCCAAGTTAAAGACAACAGTAAAACAACCAAAGAGTTTCAAAGACTTTGTGAGGTTGACCCCCCATTCATCATTTGGAGAAAAAAGCACCATTCTAGCCGAAGGATAAATGTCAAACCTTTCATATGAATGTCAAACTGCTTTGTTTTCCTAGAGCAGCGTTCAGACATTGTACTTATAGCAACAGCTCTTATAATCCATGTAACTGGGAAATTTTATGCTGGCAGTGTTATCAAAATATGAGTAGAGGTAGATTACACTTTAATGAAAAAATTTGACAGTGTCCTAAACAGTTATTTAGGCTACATCTATACTGCTTCCTTCTTGCGCAAAAGATTATGCAAATGAAGCACAGATTAGCATATTACTGCACTTTATTTGCGTAATTAATTAGGGGTCATTTTTGCACAAGAGGCTTTTGCACAAAAATGGCCCCTCATTAATTATACACATTAACTGTGGCATTATGCTAATCCATGCTTTATTTGCATAGGCTTTTGCACAAGAAGGAAGCAGCATAGACCTAGCCTTAGTGTTCTGGAAAGAATCTCCAACCACAGACTGGATGTCTCCTAAACAACATGATCTGCACTATTGAAATTCTAGTAATGGGGGGAAATGACCAGAAATGAAAGGGCTACTATTTCACAGTGATAATGTTTTCAGCCCAGCTTTGGTTCCAAGTAGTAGAGGAATAAATCTAAACTAAAAGAGTGTTTGGTGCTTAACAGAGTCAAGTAGTACCAGTAGAGTTAGTATTTTTTAAATTTTCTAATGAACCTACAACCTGTATGTCATACTTAACACATTTGTTATAGCGAAATATTATAAAAGGAAACAAGTTAAAGCAGAGTTCCTGAGATCCTCTTATCTGGAACCAACTAAGTCCCCTTGACTCTCAGTCACTACTTACTATAAAGTGTTTTTATTCCATTTTATTTTGAATGTGAAGAAGCATCTATCAGGTTTACAAAGGTGACCTATGTCACAATACATGGTCTGTGTTTAATAGCTTGCGTATAAAAACGGAAATCAATCTCTCCCATGGCAAACATGCATACTTCCACACTAATTAAGTTATGTGGTAAATCAATTTAAACAAAAACACAAAGTCCTTTGCAAAATTTTCCCTGATGCTCAATGCTATCCTAGATGTTTTCATATACATATGCTCGTGGGTTGAAGTCTAAAGGCAAAGGAGTAAGCTGTCAAAACATCTGTATTTTTAAACCTCTTCTCTCTCTCCCCATCCATTGTTTAATACTGTTCCACCTTTAAAAAGTATCAAATCAACTTCCAAAAGACAAAGTAACAATTGAGGGCAGAGTTTAATCCTGTGGTATACATAGTTTTTAGTTTGTTGGTTAGATTTTTTTAATTAAGCCACCACATACATATCTTATTTTGGGAATGAAGTTCTAGAAAGATTAGACATTGCCGATAAACAAAAAGGAAAAAAAAAAGAGTAGCAAAATGATGCATTTGTCAATATTATCTGCACTCCTTAAAGGTGGTCCTGGATAACTCCACTTTACAAGGACCAGTCAGTGTAGTATTTATAGAGCTCTTTGCAATTTTACAATTGTTATAGAAAATGGTAACCACAGTCCTGACCATCATCTTGATCATGACATTACACAATATAACTTCAATTAAAAGTTAAGATATTTTAATTACTATCCTAAGATGAAGGCCTTACCATTCATATTAGCATAGGCCTTCTCAGACAGATTTAAACTTTCATATTTTTATTGGGAATTGCACAAAGAAATAAAAAGTGTCACAGTCTATGTGATGTTGGCTGAGTGAGGTCATTGCAAAAAACTCTTCCAAACTTATCTCATTCTCTCACCTATCAGCTAATTACCAAGGTTTATTTGATAGGACACAAATAATCTGGTTTATTTACACTGGCCTTTGTAAATATGAATGCTTGAGAGAACACGCACCTGTTGAGCAACGCAGTCCCACACCCAGTGAATTTAACGCCTGTGAAAGAGATACCAAATTGACACTTACTGCCGAAAATTCCATTTACTCACAGAACAGCAAGTTTCCATACTGTTGCACAAGCGTGTGTCAGTTTTGTCCGACCAGACATGACAATTTTCAATGACTGCTATTTCAGGTTAGATCTGCAATCTAGAGGTGCTGGATAGCACAAAACTTCCACTTCAAGAACTCAACCAGTAATTGTATTTAATTTGAAGTTCCAATAAGCATGAACCTCAAAGAGGACTTTAGTCAGGCCCTGGGCTAGCCAGGGATACTCCCTCTCATTACAGACCAGGTTTGGCTATCTTAGGAATAGAGTAGAAGGGCCTAGAGGCCTTTTAATCCCTCTTTATGATGGCTTCAAGAGATAGTCAAATGTCTGCCACTTTCCCCTATAATTCTTCAGCTTCTTGGGAACTGTTACTTGGAAGAGAGGAACATAGGCCTCTTTGTTAGTTTTGGAGCGTGTGTGGAGATGAGAAGAGACAAGCCTTCCACCCACACTAAGAGCTTCTGAATTCACGGTACTCCTTAAATTTATGTAACCCTTCACTGGATTTAAGATTGATGTTTATATTACTGCCATGTTGAGAGTCCCCATTGGGAATCAAGGTCACACCAGACTGACAGACACCAGACTGGGCACTGTAAAAAGCGATCTAAAAATGTTACAGTGCTGCTTAAAGAGAAAATTGACAGAACTGAACTAGTGACACAAAAAACAGGGAGGGAAGGATAAAGAACAAGGAAATATTATGCAGTTATTCAGATTTCTCAAAGAAATGGCCCCTTTAAGAAACGCTTTACTTTTGAGGCTTTTTGGCCAGCAGCCGCCTACCATCTTGTCTCCCTGCGCCAGGCCAGATAGCTCCCCTGCGGAACTCAGTAAGCACCCAGGATTTTCGCCTCCTGGCCAGGAAAAAAAAAA